TGGGGCCCACTCTGAGTTTTAATAAGCCCTCCAGGTGCTTCTGATTCAAGTTAAAGTGTGAGAAGCACTGCTGCCCAGCACCATTTGGATATTTATAACACCGTTCGCTTAACATAATTCACTTAATGTAACTTTATGTCGCTATGAACAAAGCTCGTAGATTTCTTGAATTTGAGTCCTGCCTTCGGTTGCCTTGGCCAGGCCAGACCAAATGACTTCTCGGGGCTTATTTGGCCCGTGGGCAGGCCGTTCCCCACCCCTGCTCTAAGCCACCTGGGTTATGTACTGTTAACGCCCGATCGACTGTCAGAGAAAAAGGCTCAGGCCATCCCCCGAGGAAGCCGTCCCAGAACGCTCCCTATAGCGTGGCGGCCCGAAACCTCAGGCTGCATGGAAGCCTGTCCTCTGAGGGCGGGCAACAGCCCCGCCACCTGAGTTGTATCAGGCCTTCCTTCCTCTTTTATCGGCCAGCCCAGAGGGCCAGTTCCCACTCTGGGGACCACCTCACCGGCTCTTCTCCGAAACCTGCTGGAGTCAGTTCTCCACTCGGGTGAAGAAGGATTGATTAAGGACCTGCGGAGCTAGAGGATTGAGAAAGGTGGGGTGTCCTGGCTGCCAGTGGGGCTCGGTGGTGATAGCATCGGCCTGGAAACCGAAGGATCTCAGGTGCGATTCCCAGTCAAGGGCACCCACCTGGGTTGCAGGTTTGCTCCCCACCACCCAGTCGGGGCACCAGGGCTCCTGCGGGAGGCAACCAGTCGATGTGTTTCTCTCACAAAATTTTTTCTCTTTCTTTCTCTCCCCTTCCCTCCCTCCTTTCCACTCTCTCTGAAAAGCAATGGAAAAAAATGTCTTCTGGTGAGGATTAGCAACAATTATAAAACAGAAGCACTGTAGAATAAAAAGCCTACTTACAACTTCTCACGTATGAGGTAAAATAATCTTCTACAAGGGTGCTTATACCACAAAAGAAGTAAATATTTGATTTTTTATTATAGCACTAAGAAGAAAGAAAGAAAGAAAGAAAGAAAGAAAGAAAGAAAGAAAAGGAAGGGGAGCTCCCAATCAGGGGAGAGAGGGACGGTGCACACAGCCCACCACAGGGTGGCACAATCATGAATGAAACGTTTGCAAAGGATTATGGGAGCACTGAGAGGGGCGCTCATTTTGACTGATTTGGAAAAGGGTCATTTAATATGGGCCTTGCAGTAAATTTGGGAGACAAAGGACTGGAAAAAGTATAAATAAAGAGAGTTTCCTCGATATTGGGGGCCCAGAATTTGAAAGACACATTTTTCTCTGGGCCTGCACAGAATTTAATAAAATGTAACTCCTGTAGTCGGCACGGCAGTTCAGCCCTTACTTCGGCAGGGTGCTGTAACTGTGGTCGCTGGCCAGTTCAATAAATCCTCGCTTGCTCTTTAAGACCTAATTGGAGTCGGTGGTCTTATTCTCGAGAATGTTGGTCCACAACAGTATAGGCATTTATTATAATTTTCATTTACAAAACTGGGGAACAGAACAGAGGGTGAAGTATCCATCTTATATAAAAACTGCTGTTTGAGCCGAAACCAGTTTGGCTCAGTGGATGGAGCGTCGGCCTGTGGACTGAGGGGTCCCAGGTTCGATTCCGGTCAAGGGCATGTGCCTGGGTTGTGGACACATCCCCAGTGGGAGATGTGCAGGAGGCAGCTGATCGATGTTTCTCTCTCATTGATGTTTCTAGCTCTCTATCCCTCTCCCTTCCTCTCTGTAAGAAATCAATGAAATATATTTAAAAAAATAAATTTATCATCAGTTCTTAATGGTCAAAGAAAAAGAGACATCAAATTGAATGCAAATCAGAATTCCTCATGCTAATATTTGAACCATGGCAGTTTTTTAGTTCAAGAAAATTTTATTCCCCCTCGGAGATAACATTTTATTCAGTATTGCCTTGAGTGGTTCTGACAGATATAATCAACATCTTGTCACTGACAAGAGTGGCAGAAAGTCACATCTCAAGTGTACACAGGCCTTCTTTCTCAGAAGGCCCGGAAGTCTCATTCCAAATTTGGGAGACAAAGGACTGGAAAAAGTATAAATAAAGAGAGTTTCCTCCATATTGGGAACCCAGAATTTGAAAGACACATTTTTCTCAGGGCCTGCACAGAATTTAATAATGTAACTCCTGTAGTCGGCACTGCAGTTCAGCCTTTGCTTTGGCAGGGTGCTGTAACTGTAGTCGCTGGCCAGCTTAATAAAGGCTCCTAAATCTTGATCTGAGTCCCTGGTGGTCGTCTCCACGGGTCACCCCATTACAAGGGGTTAAGTCACCTGTCTAAGGTCACACAGCCAGTAAGTGGTGGGCCTAAGATGTGAACTCAGGCTGCTGCCTCCAGAGCTCATACTTTAAAAAAAATTTTTTTTTTAATTTTTAATTGTGTTAAAAAACAAAACAAACCCACATAGAACTGACCATCTTAGCCATTTTCAGGTGTTTAATATTAAGTATATCCACACTGTTATGCCACCCTTGAGCCCATACTCAACCTCATGGCAAGTGTGGAAATAAAAACATATGCATAGTAATATTAAAGGGAAAGAGAAGTATTTAAAATGCAGGTTTGCCAGGTGGAAACTACATACAATGGGCATGTACTGAGCATGAGAACGAGAAGCTGACATGCAAAACTAAAGATGCTGACTGTTCTGGTGAGACGGTGGTATTTCTGCCGCTCCCATCACCGTCACTACCTGCCTTTTGAAAATGCCTATAGTATTGTTGTTACATCATCCTAATGGAAAAATTAAACTCACGCTGCATCTGTGCAACGACAGGAGCCATGCATGGCTGGATCCTGGGGTACGTAGTGGGATCAGGCACATGAGGCTGCGAGGGCCCCAGGACCAGGAAAGGGGGCTGCGCTTGAGCCCACATGCAGGGGCCCTGCTGCTGGGGGCCCCATGTGCGCTGAGTCCCCCTGCAAACTCATCTCTATGCTGGTTTGGGATGACAGGACAGCTCAGCAGGCCTTAAGGGCCGGGGCGCCAATGGCGGGTGGACCCTGTCGGGCCTGAGGAAGCTGGGCCCGCTGGTTGCTGACCCGTCCCGGGTCTGCCTCCCTCCTGGTGTCAGGAGCCAAGGGTGGAGAGGAGCAGGGCTGCTGGGCCTCCTGACTCACTGTCCTGGGACATCCCTCTGCCTACCGCCCCGTGCCCACCCGGCCGGCTACAAGCGCAGCAAAGCTTCTGTGGCCGCCCAGCCCAGGGCGTTACACAGGTTTCCTCTGACCCTCTGCAAGCGTGAGGACAGCGAGGCTGGGGAATAGAGCTGCCATCGGCCTGATTCAGAGCCCTTGCTCTTTCTGGGCTACACTGAGCTGAGGGAACAGACGCCATTCTCTGTCTTCAGGCCCCAGCGCTCCCAACCCTAACTGGAGGGGACCCTGTTCACCTCCCGCAGCCCCAAATCGAAGGTTTTCATCCGAAGCTTTCATTCCACACAGCAAGCCCTCGCCCCACTGTCACGTGAGATCCCCTCCTCTCTTTAGGGGACTCCACCTGCTGCTGAAGTCACCGCATCAGGGATGCAGCGGGCCAAGCCCGTGGGGTTTGACCAATTTTACGAAGAACCTAGAATCTGGGTGGCAGATAAACTTGAGGAAATCTGAGGACTTGCAGAGAAATTTTCCTGAGGCTCTCTCCCCCTGGGATCCAAGACCCCAGGATACAGGGGCGGCAGATAACGGATCTGCCAACAGCCAGCAAACTCCAGGCCTGGGGGTTTCCTCCTCCTCTTCTGGGTGTCCCAGCTGAAAAGCGAACCAGAGTAGAGACCAGAGACGTAGGATGTGGACATCTTTTCAGATGCCTACGTGCCATCCCTACATCTTCTTTGCGAGCTGTCTGTTTCAGGTCTTTTGCCCATGTTTTAATTGGGCAGTTTGTTTTCTTATTGTGGAGTTTTAAGAGTTCTTTGTGTTTATTGATGTTTTTGGGGGGGATAAACTTCTGGCTAGACAGGCTCTGAGCCAGAACCCCCCCTAGGCAGCTAGGCCCCTCCCCCTGGGCAGTCAGGCCCCTCCCCCTGGACACCCAGGCCCCGCCCCCTGGGCAGGCAGGTCCCCCTAGGCAGTCAGGCCACACCCCCTGGGCAGCCAGGCCCCGCCCCCTGGGCAGCCAGGCTGCATTGGCCAGCCCTCCTAGCACTCACCAGCGATGACAGCGAAGTCAGCCTCCACATCACAGGCGATGACATCCCCATTTCGTATGTGGCTCTTAACGGCCTCCTTCACCTTGCCCATCCCAAGTTCATTGCCTCCGTCACCAACCCCTAAAGGAAAGACAAACCGAGTCAGTATATATAGGATCAGGCCAAATGGGGTTTGTGGGGCAGGGCCACCCCTCCACACGGGCCTCACTGCCTCTAGGGAAAGGAGGGGGTTGGCTCTGGATATATTTTCAGACAACCAGGAGATGTACTTCTCCTTTAGGTATTCTAGAAAATTCTCTAGTTAAAAATGAGTCAAAGTTTGGCCCGGCCAGTGTTGCTCAGTGGTTGAGTGTCAACCTAGGAACCATGAGGTCACAGTTCAATCCCCAGTCAGAGCACATGCCTGGGTTGCGGGCTTGATCCCCAGGGTGGGGCACGCAGGAGGCAGCCAATCGATGATCCTCTCTCATCATTGATGTTTCTATCTCCCTCTCCCTTCCTCTCTGAAATCAATAAAAATATACTTTTAAAAAAGATTAAAATGGGGACATACCATGAATGGAGGTTGCAGGACTGGGAGCTGCTCCAGGTGAGTGAGTGAGTGGTGAGTGAATGTGGGGGCCGGGACATTCCTTACATGACTGTAGACTCTATAAACACTGTACACTCAGGCTACCCTAACTTTATAAAAAAGAGTTTTCTTTCTTCAATAATAAATTTACCTGAGCTTATTGTAACTATTATCCTTTACAAACTTTAAAAATTGTTTAACTTTTTGACTCATTTGTAATAAAACTTAGCGTAAACACAAACACACTGTATAGCTGTACAAAACTATTTTTCTTTATATCCTTATTCTATAAGTTTTTTTCTAGTTCTATTTTTTTAAACTTCCTTTTTTAATTTTTTTGATTCTTTTAAAAACTAAGACATAAACACACACACTAGGGCTACACAGGGTTAGGACCATTGATATCACCGCCTTCCACTCCCCGTCCTGTCCTGTCTCACTGGGAGGTCTTCCGGGGCAAGGACACACGTGGAGCTACTGTCTCCTATGGCAACAAGGCCTCCTTCTGGAATACCTGAAGGGCCGGCCTGCGGCTCTTCCGAGGAGGGCTCACTGTTTTCTGAGACACGTTCATGGTGGTTTGCTTGTTTTTGTTTTCCATCATAGATTTGCTTGTCAGCAGATAATGCACCACGAACACGCCTCTCTATTAGTGAAAACCTTTCCGTGTTGGTTTCAAACTTTTTACGGAGCTGTTAAGGTCTGCAGAAGTTTCTGCCAAACCCTTCACTGTGAAATTTTTTGGGGATTCTTCTTCATATTTAAAAATAATATATTCTTATTGATTTCAAAGAGGAAAGGAGAGGTTCAGAGGGATAAAACATCAATGATGAGAGAGAATCATTGATCGGCTGCCTCCTGCATGCCCCGCACTGGGGTTGGAGCCCGCAACCCAGGCGTGTGCCCTGACCGGGAATCGAACCATGGCCTCCTGGTTCACAGGTCTATCTATGCTCAACCACTGAGCCATGCCAGCCGGGTGGGGATTCTTCTCCTGCACTTTCCTTTTCTCTTGCCTCTTCAGTTATGCATTCCTGTTCCAGCTCCAACACCTCCTCATTGGTCAGTTCCTCAGGAACCACCGCTAGGAGCTGCTCAATGCCATCCACACCTGCAGCCAGGTACAGGGCTTTGCCATCTCAGCCACAGACTTGGTGACTTTTGCAACCTCCTCATCCTTGGCAAGTCCTTTGACGTCATGGACCAACCTCTTGAGTGTCTTCTTCCAGACGCCACTCATACACTCCTGGACGACATCAGCCCAGCCCAGCAAGGCTCCTGATGCGGAGATAGACGCTGCAGGCCTTCATCGTTGCCTCGGCGTATTCTCAGTGTCTTCCTCAGGGGCAGCAACAGCCTGGGCAAAGGTCATCCTCGGGGAGTAGGTCTTAAAAGCTGTTTTAACTTCTCGATGGATTGTTTGGATCGCAGAGATGGTGTTTGGAGAGAGAAGCGCCACTTTGAGACTGGGATGAAGATCGCCAATAAAAGGAGCGTGTGTGGGAGCATTGGCAACAATAAGCAACATCTTGAAAGACATGTTAATCTCCAAACATACCTCTCCCTTCTGCGGACATAGCACCCGAGGAGGGCGCCTGGGAAGAGGAGCTGGGTGATCCGTGCCTTCTTGTTGCCCCTGTAGGACACTGCTTAGTGAGAAGCTCAAAGGCCCGGGGTCCTCACTGTGCCATATTAAAGGGATTCCATTTGTGGCCTGTAACACAGCCCCAGCGGAAATGTTATCCTGTCCTCAGAAGCCTTGAAAGCTGGCATCGACTTGGCCTCCGCATGGACGAAAGAACGTTCAGACATCTGTTTCCAGCATAGGGAGGTGTCATCACTATTGAATGTTTGTTCTGGCAAGTAATTTCCCTCCTAAATAAGCTTATCTAGAGTTTCCAAAAATTCCCCAGCCGCCTTCACACCAGCACTGGCAGACTCACCACTCACTTCCACATCATGTATGAATAACAATTCTTTAAAAAAATATATGTGTTTATTGATTTGAGAGAGATGGGAAAGGAGAGAGAGAGAGAGAGAGAGAGAGAGAGAGAGAGATCCATGTGAGAGAGAAACATGGATCGGTTGCCTCCCATATGCACCCTGACCAGGGATCAAACCCACAACCTGGGCATATCCCGGACCAAGAATCAAACCAGTGACCTTTGGGTGTACAGAATGAAGCTCCAACCAACTGAGCCACACCGGCCAGGGCTCAATACTGATTCTGGAACTGCTTCAGTCACCTAGAGCTAGCAGGAAATTCATCGTAGTCGGGTCCACCCTTTTCTTTCACCAATACACTTCTCGCTTCATCATGATCGTCAGGGTGCTGAGAAGGACATGCTTCTGTGTCTGGTCCCTAATCCAGATCATCAGACGTTTCTCCACGTCTGATACGGCACCTTTTCAAATGTTCGTTGGTCTCGTTGCTTTCAATGAAGCAGATCCTGTAATGACTTTCATTACTTTTTCCTTGTTCGTCAAGACGGTAGCTGTGGTGAATGGGAGAGGCAGACTGGTGAGCAGGGACCGCCACTGACTTTCCATCGTCGGAGACCGTAACCACTTTTAATTTAATTTCAGTCACTTGACATGGCCTCTTAATGGCAACGTTAGCAGTGATTTTGTATGTTTGGGGCCATGATGAACAAAACACAAGATTAAATCAAGCACAGGAGAAAAGGATGCAGTTAGGAGACTCAGTAACATGGCATACTGCTTTACCAGGACAGCAAACTTTTTTTTGATGTTGTTAATTCTCACCTAAGGATATTTTTTTTTCCATTGCTTTTCAGAAGAGAGGGGAAGGGAGGGAGGGAGGGGGAGAGAGAGAGAGAAGCATCGATGTAAGAGAGACACATCGACTGGTTGCCTCCCATATGCACCCAGACAGGGGGCAGGGAGCAACCCAGGTACATGCTCTTGACTGGGAATCGAACCCAAGACCCTTCGGCGTATGCACTCTAACCACTGAGCAACACTGGGCAGGGCTACAGCAAACTTTTTTCTATAGAAGTAGAAAGAGTACACTCTAAAAGAATGATAAAGATATAGTAAATACAGAAACCAATAACATAGTCATTTATTATCATTCTCAAGTATTATGTACTGTCCATAATGGTATGTGCTATAGTTTCATGCTGTGAGTGGCGCTGTAGGTCTGTTTACACCAGCATCTCCACAGACATGTGAGTAATGGAATGCTCTGACGTCTAGACAGCTACAGTGTCACTAGGCGATGGGACTCTTTCAGCTCCATTATAATCGTAGGGGACCGACCTTGTATACGCGGCCCAGGTGGACCGGAACATCAGATGCCTCGCATGATTGTCAGTTTCTGCAGCTGTTTCTACAAAGGCTTGGACTGTGAGGTGTGGGCAAAAAGGGGGCCACATGCTGACCTGACAGGCCCAGGGAGGAGGCCTGCATGGCGCTTGCAAACTCAGGGACCTAAAGTAACCACAAAGGATCGTCTGAAATGAAAACTTCAACTAAAAGCAGTTTATGGTGGGTAGTCACGTCCGAGGCTGGTATCTTCCCTGACAAAGGTCAGTCTTTACCTTAACTGAGCCTACTGTCTTTCTGCATCTACGATAACATATCACTGGAATGTCAAAGTCATTTTCCTTTTTCCGGATCCCTCAAAGCACAGGCTCCACCAATCCCCTCGTTGTTATTGAGTTAACTGTTGACTGTTAACTATCCTGCCCCCACCCAAGTAAAAGAAGTGTGTCTGTCATTTACTTTTTATCCAATCCCACAGGTTTCCCCGCTTTGCTTTCTCCCGCCTCCCTAATCTATCCCCAGTGGATTCCGTGTAACCCCCTTACGTCGCCTCTTTTTTTTTTTAATATAAATTTTATTGATTTTTTACAGAGAGGAAGGGAGAGGGATAGAGAGTTAGAAACATCGATGAGAGAGAAACATTGATCAGCTGCCTCCTGCACACCCACTACTGGGGATGTGACCACAACCAAGGTACATGCCCTTGACTGGAATCGAACCTGGGACCCTTCAGTCCGCAGGCTGACGCTCTATCCACTGAGCCAAACCGGCTAGGGCTACATCTCCTCCTTTGGTTGTAAGGTGAACAAGGTGAAAAAACACCATTCTCCGGAGCAGTATCCCAAGAGGTTGAGATTCTGCTTCCAGACAACTGTCAACAGTTCGGCTCAAATAAACTCACAAAATTCTCGACAGGTTTGCATGTTTTTATACGTTAACAGAGGGAACTTCCACCAGGGTTAGCACTCATTGTGAGGCGGCGGAGCGGGGCAGTGGAGGTGACCCACCTGGAGACCTGGACTGGGCCAAAAGGATGGACCATGGACCGTAGTGGCAACCTAATTCCTTCGGTCCGCACCCCAAGGGTTTTTCTCGGAACAGTGTGGAGACCCGTGACAGCGCATTTTATGACTTTCATCCTGTTCACTCCTCAAACCAGTCCTGCCCGTGGCCTTGTTCTCCTGACTGAGCTCGAAGAGTCTCTGAGAGGGCCAGGGCTGGGGTAGTCAGCGAAAGGTGGGTGTCTGTGTTCTCATTGGAGCGCTCTGTGCAGGACGAGGCAGCTGCCTGGGAAACTGAGGAATAGGGTGTTTGCTGATGGAGCCGCGAGGAAGGACCATCAGGGGTAAGTAGTCCTGCTGGGCACGGGGCTGTGGGAAACCACGGGAGGGGCTTCAGCCCCCGAGGCCCAGAGAAGCACCCAGAGGCCCACCAAGGGGGCAGCTTGACGGGGCAGCAGTCAGCTCCCCTGGGATCTCGGGGGGCCTCAGTGGGGGATCAGCACAGATTGGGGGTCTGTTCGGCGGGGAACAGCAGCTCCTTTGGACCCCGATTGCTCCTTTGGACAAGGAGACCCTTTCCTTCGCCACCCTGGGAACACCCCCCCCCGCCCCCCCCAGGCTCTAGGTCAGCACTACTGCCCGCGGGCCGGATACGGCCCGTTTGAAATGAATAAAACTAAAAAAAAAAAAAAAAAAGACCGTACCCTTTTATGTAATGATGTTTACTTTGAATTTATATTAGTTCACACAAACACTCCATCCATGCTTTTGTTCCGGCCCTCCGGTCCCGTTTAAGAACCCATTGTGGCCCTCGAGTCAAAAAGTTTGCCCACCCCAGGCTCTAGGCCCTAGGCGCCCTGCCCAGAGCAACAGGAAGCACAAAACCAAAGACACAGTGGATACCACGCCCCAGGCCGCTTCTGGGAAAGACCAGGGTGGGTTTGCAGAAGTTTTCAGCTCAGCCGGGAAGACTTTCATGGACTCATTAGAACCTTAAAAGCCCGAGGTGACTAATGAGTCTGGGAAACGCTCCAGGGTTGGAGAAAACAGATAAAGGCAGACAGAAGGGCAAACGGGTTAATGACTGCAGGTCCTGATCCCTGTCGCCCCCAGGGGAGGAAGCCTTGCAGAAATCCATCCAGTTCCTGAAAAGCTTGTCAGGTAGGGTCTTGGGAGTCTGGGCTCAGCTTCCGATTCTCCCGGCAGCAGCAATGAGCTGGGCAAGCTCAAGAAGCCCCTTCGGCCTCATTTTTGGACACTAGACCTGCCTTACCTACCTCACAGGGGTTTAGAGAGGCCTCAGCAATACCATCAATGTGAAACCTCTTTGAAAACGATAAAGTTCTGTACTTTCCGCGAATGACCACACTAGGATACGATTAGCAGTCCAAAGATGGCACTAATCACATCGTTAACACTATTTTAAAATTAAGATGCTTCCTAAGATGATACATAGTATACTTGGTACATTCACCCCGTGTGACCACCGTAATATACCGTGCCTTGATATTATTATTATTATTCTATTATTAGTTTTAATAGTTTAGAGTTGGGCAAACAGAACGCGCAGGGTTCAATGTCATTTCCCTTGGATGCTTGTGGGAACGTTGGCTTTCCAAATGACGTTGTCATTATTGTCTACACAGACCCTCTCTGGAGTGGAAAACAATGGCCCCCCATATAACTCTTTCCTGCCCTGTGTTCAATAGTCAATAAAAAGGCATGTAGCGCGGACACGTCCTGAATTCCCGGTGCCTCCTGCTTACCCGTTGACGAGATTCCAGGAATTTTCTGGGCTACAAGGAAAAGGTCGTCAATGGGGTCCACCAAATGCTTGATGTTCATTTTCCTGGCGTTGTAGTAGTTGCCGTCCGCAGCCCTGCCTGCGCGCTCTATCGCCACCAGGTGGTCGAATCTGCGGGGGAGCAAGAGCACAGAGTCCTGAAGCAGAGGGTGGCTGCCTCCTGTAGCATCAGGACTTTTCTGTGGAGGACAGGTCACTCTCTCTTGGATTCCTTCATTCCTACAGAACGTGGCTGAACGGCTGCTCTGTGGCAGGGCCTGTGCTGGAGCTGGTCTATCTGATCACTGTAAGAAGTGGTATCAGAATCTTTAACAATTTATTAGAGTCGGAGGCCGTGAGAGCAGGAAGGCCGAGGGTCAGGGTCAGGGAGGGCCGTGGTCGATGCCGGAGCCTGGCCCAGATCTCCACGAACCGGCGGGGGAGCCGGCACCCAGGGCTGTGAGTGTTGGCTGCTATTGGCCCACCACTGCCCCTTCCAGGCTCTTGCTCAGTTTACAGACACAAACAGACCAAAATGGAATTGAAGTATTGGAGTCTGGCCCTTTAAATACAGTTCCTCATGTTGTGACCCAACCATAAAATTATTTTCGTTGCTACTTCATAACTGGAATGTTGCTACTGTTATGAATCGTCATGTAAATATCGGATAGGCAGGATGGTCTTAGGCGACCCCTGTGAAAGGGTCGTTCGACCGCCAAAGGAGTCGTGACCCACAGGTTGAGAACCGCTGTATTAGACCCACGAATCTACCACATGATAAACTTCCTCAGACAGGAAGAGACAGAGAGGTAAGGGGTACAGGTGGCGTGGTGGGGAGGATGTAGGCTGTGGCATCAGCTCGCAGGTCCTCATGACACTGGCCCTGGATAAGCGGCTTCACCTCTCTGACCCGTGTCTACGTCTGTCACGTGACCCAACAACGGCACCCCTCTTCTGCAGTGTGGGGAGTGGGACGTGAGGAAAGCCCGTGAGGCACTGAGCGTGCAGCACCACACCGACGAGATCCTCGTCAGCTCGCAGGTCCTCATGACACTGGCCCTGGATAAGCGGCTTCACCTCTCTGACCCGTGTCTACGTCTGTCACGTGACCCAACAACGGCACCCCTCTCCTGCAGTGTGGGAAGTGGGACGTGAGGAAAGCCCGCGAGGCACTGAGCATGCAGCACCACACCGATGAGATCCTTAGGCTCAGGGGCTGTGGTTGCTCTTACTATTGGAGGAACATTGTGTTGATCATCCAAGTGAAGAACAGAGAAATTGCACTTTTATATCTCTCTAAATCTGCCCCACCCCATGATGGAGTTCTTCAAAATCTTAACTCTGCTGTGGAAACACTGGGGGGGGGGGCAACTCAAAAAATCTAAATAGAATTACTATGGGATCCAGCAATTCCACTGCGGTTTACACCCCAAAGAACTGAAAGCCGGGTGTTGAAGAGATAGTTACACACCCATATGCCTGACAGCATTAGTCACAATGGACAAAAGGTGGAACCACCCCAAGTGTCTATCAGCCAAGGAACACATCAGCAAAATGTGGTCTCTGCATGCTATGGAATAGGATTCAGCCTTCCAAAGGACAGGAATTCTGATACCTGCTACAATGGGGATGCATCTCAAGGACATTTTGCCAGGTGAAATAAGCCAGTCACTAAAAGGACAGATCCTATGTGATTCCATGTACATGAGGGCCCTACAATAGTAAACATATAGAGACATAAAGTAGAACGGCAGGTATCAGGGGCTGGGAGTCGGAAGGAATGTGAATGGGGACAGAGTTCCCGCTGGAAAAATGAAAGAGTTCTGCTGGAGATGGATGGTGGGGACAGCCGCACAACAACGTGTATGTCCTAACGGCACAGAACTGTGCACTTAAAACCGCAAAAATGTGAATTTTATGTTGTGTATATTTTACCATAATAAAAACAACATTGCAACTCCGGATGCTTTCTCTGTACATGTTTTGAAAAACAAGACTTCCTGCCGGTCCACGTGCCTTGGTTGTGCTGGAATGACAAGCAGGTGGACGAGCAGGCCCTGAGCAGGTGCTGGAAGGTCACCCCGAGGCGACGTGCCCCGTGCGGGACAGGTGGCCCTTGAGAAGCAAAGCAACAGGAGGAAGGAGCCGGCCCTGAGTTCCCTCTGGGTGGACACAGTGGTGATAAAAATCAACTCAGCTCTGAGCTCTGAGCCAGACCCATGCAGCCTCTGTTCTAGAAGGAGAGCACTGTGTCTGGACCTTCCCCAGGAACACGCAGCGCCACCCCTCCTGAAGGTGCATTGATTAAAAAAAAAAAATAAAAAAAAAATATTAGAGGTCTGGTGCACAACATTCATGCACTGGAGGGGAGAGGGCTAGTCCCTCAGCCCAGTCTGTGCCCTCTTGCAGTCCAGGACCCCTTGGGGGATGTCTGCCTGCCGGCTTAGGCCCG